CGGCTGCGTGTGGCCACAACGGTGGCGCGACACGACGACGGAGTGGAGGGCGAAGGAGCAGGCTCTGGTGCGGATGACGGTGAGGCAACACATGGGAGGGGTAGCGCCGTGGAGCACGGTCCAGCGTGGGCACGGCGGCCACACGCGGTTGTTCGGCTCGGCAGGGCAGGCAGAGACAGAGGCCATCGGAGGTAAATCGAACGGGCGCAATAGGAAAAATGAGCAAACATGTGCAAGCTCGCCACCAATGTCATTGGTGCGACATGGGGGGATAGGGCGAGACGACATAGCTTGGCCGGCAGCGGCGTGCCTACGCGCGCACTGGGAAGCGAGAGGACACGGCGCGGGCAGGGACAGAACCACGTGCTCTCCTAGGGGAATGCAAGCAAAGCAGTACGTGGCAGCAGCAGCCTAGCCAGCTTTCTTTAAGACGCTCTCTAAGAAAGGACGTAAGGGAGAGGGAGAAGCGACACGATGATGGGACCCGACAACGCGGCGCGATGCGAATAACTCCGATGATTGATTCTGAGCAGGGGAAACACACCACCGTATTCAAGCGGCCAGGACAGTAGTGAGGCAGGGACAGTAACTGCAGCAGCAAGGACATGAGAGATCAGGCAGCAGCTGAACACATGGAATTCGCGTGGCTCTGTTGGCTGCCTGCCTACGCGTGGGACGATGCGGCGCGGATGTGAACAGCGATATGTCATCGGCAACCCAAAAGATCTAAATCCTATTGATATCAACTAACAAGTATATCATGACCTAGCCCATACTGCATACTAACCCATAGGAGCGAAATACTTAAGCACTATTGAACTATTTTGCTTAACATAATTTGCCAAAATTGACCTTTTGAACATAAATAATATTTCTCGCCGACTCACGAAAAGTTCTAGTTTAAATCTTGGAGGCTACCATGGACCAGGACAACGTGATGGTTGGGGTGGAGGATGGCGAAGGAGGGGTGGCCACATGCGGCCGAGCCGTGCGGCGGTGCACCATGGTGGCACGGTCACGTCAGCGGCGACGGGGGGCGGTAGCTGTTCCGCTGACGTGCACAAGGTGAAGAGGGAGGCGAGGCGAAGCTAGTGGTGTAGGTGAATTGGATTGGAGCGGGCAGTAGGGGGACCGCCCTCGTTCGTGACCGGACGTGGCCTTATCGGCACGACGGCGGGAAAAGCACCAAATTGGAGCATGGTAGTGCGTGCATCATGGCTGGGTGGGGTTGGGTAGCCGGAGAACTTGATGGTGAAGCCGCAGACATGCTGAATTGAATGGAGGTGATCGCTCGGTGTCTAACGTGCTGGCGCGGCTCCGACAACGATTGGTGGGCTCAGCTTGGGCTCGCCTTGGTGAGACGTGGCCGGCGTGATCAGGGAGACACGCGCGCAGGCACTACGGACAAGCACGCACGTCCACGATCGGCATGGCCCGCGCGGTCGCTGTGCCATAAATGGCATGGCGACGATGAGTTCGACCATGTGCGCTTGCCATCTAATTGGGCCAGCGACGGGGTAAGGGTACAGCGGACAGGCACGGACGCGACGGCGATGCGACGGCAGCGGCAGCGGCTGCGTCGCAGCACGAGGCGGGTTGGCAGTGCAGCAGCACGGTGGGGCAGGCGGCAGCGCCGCTCGACCGTGTGAGCAGCAGCAGCGCAGCATGGCGCCATGGTGATAGCAACCTCATGCGGCAGCACGCGTGCGCGCCCGTGGCAAGCCAGTGAGGCCACGTCGCACTCCCGGGACGTGGTGACCGCGCCCACCCGTCCAACCAACTTAAGAACGTGTCGCGCACGAAATTTAAAGCGCCAATAACAACTAAACATTGCTCTTGAGCCTAAACCATCTTCACCATGCTCTAGAGAGCATATCAGACTACCAACCCGAGCTAAAACATGACACCACCTCCTAACTCAATTTCACAAAACAAATCACCAAACATTGCATTGTCTTGCTGCTTATATGTACTTAAATTCTTCTAAGTCCTTGAGCTGAATTTGATTTTAAGTTGCATTTTTAGGCTATTAGTAATGTTAGCTAGCAATGTTATTTTTCCACAGCAAGTATTTCATTGTCATCTACAAAGTTTGTACTTCAAACTTTATTTAAGCATCACACACATGTTCTATAGTATTTTTGTTCCATAAAAATTGGTTTAAAACCCTACTTGATAATTGCCTGAGTTATGGAATAGCTTCTCATTTAGCATTTGTATTGATCATTTTAGGTTGCAATACTTCATTTATTCATTCCATCACATGCATTATCATGTAAAGATGATGCTCATGACATGGTTTAGTAATTTGTTTAGGGCGTAACACCGAGGGTGTTACAGTTGACAGGAAGGGGAGACCTGCACCACTGCAGTTCCCCAGTAGGTAGGTTGTGGCCGCCAGCGATGCTGTGTTTCATGTGTTTCAGGTGGTTTCAGACATGTTGCGAGCCTATGTTTCAAGTGTTTGAGTTGTTTTCAGACATATGTTTAAAGTGTTTCATCTTAATATTGCATATGTTGCTATGGCTATACACACATATTTCAAGCGTATGTTTTAGATGTTTTCAGACTTATGTTGCAAGTGTTTCATCCGAACGTTGTAAAAGTAGATCTGGATGTTGCATATGTTGATTTGGTTATACACGCACGTTTGAAGAGCATGTTTCAAGTGTTTTCATCTAAAACGTATATTGCAAGTGTTTTATCTGAATGTTGCATATGTTGCAAATAGCTATGTTGCAGGTGTATGTTCTGAATGTTTCATCTATTTCAACTATACATTGCAATTGTTTTATCTGAATGTTGCAAAAGTAGATCTTGATGTACATGTGAAGGAAGCCTAAGCCCTCGGTGGTCCAGCTACTGTGGCTCCCTGGTGTGGCAAAGATGAAGGCCGCGAACACAGGAACAGCAGGGATGGGATGCCGCGGTGGATTGGCCGGGATAGGGAGCGGGATGGGCATGGTGCATCAGGTGGGATGGGGAGCTGGATGGGACGCTAACGAGGGGGCTGCGTCTGTCGGGGCGTAGGCATGGGAGCTCTGGGATGGACGGACGCTGCCTCAGAAGCAGGATGGGCGCAGGGTGAATGGAGCTATGTTCGTCGGACGCGCGCGGGGTCTGCGTCTGGACGGATGCCGCATCTGGACGTCCGGGCGCTAGGAATACCGTTTATTATTTGATCATCATAGAAAAATTTAGGAATTGTCTCTTCTGTGATGTCCTTTTAACTTACTAGTTGGTAGTATTAGATTGTTGCCTAAAATCATCTAAAACTTAAAGCACCTGAATATAGCAACTCCCTTGAATTTTAAGGATATAGCCTCTAGATCTATGTTTTTTGTGCAAATGGAATTTATGGAGCCAGAGCGTTTGGCTTGAAATTAATGAATTGAAGTTGTTTTTAGCTGCTGGAGTTCTCCCAAACTCATTTGAGAGCAGGACACGACGAGCGATATAACAGGTCTATGTATTGGGATCGAACTACATGCTAGCAGCTGCGCAATATACTGTAGTATTCTTGAAAGCACGAAATAATATGAAAGCTTTGCAAGCTGAGTGATTAAACTCCTTATTAGTCTTAATAGGAGTATTATTACAAGTGTATATATACTGTAGATAGAAAGGTAAACAATTCGAAACGACAGATGGATCGGGTCATTGGAGTAGCGATCTGTTATAATACATGTTGCCACTGGTTATGATTTTTCCCTCTTCGTCTCTCATAATCAACATACAGTAGATGAAAGTAGAACACATAGACACAAGAGATTTTGGGAGACTATTCTTTATTTATCTGAAAATTAGTGATTACAACATGAGCTCCCACACATATATAGTCTTCCTAAGCCTAAAAGTTTGGTAAGAATCCACATATAAACAGATTAGGATTATGATTCCACCTTCTCCTTTCCTTTTAAGATAGAGTCCGTATGTTTTACGACATTATCCTTGGGTGATTACCACGATATGCATATGTCTCATTAAAAACTCCATCCGAAAACCCAGTTGAAAAAACGGTTCTCGGAGAAAAGAGTATATCGCATTCGTAATTGCATTGCACATGTTGTCGCATTAAAAACCTTGTGTGAGAAACCTTCAAGTAAAAACTCACATAGGAAAAATAAGTACAACATTTAACCTTTTTGATCATGTATTCTTCAGGATATTTTATTCTTCATGAATAGATATTGATCTTCATGATCTATGGACAAACTTCAATGTTTTAGCAAATATGATCTACTCGATCTTTGTAATTCTAGTGGTTTTAATTATCTTCAAGGTAGATTCAATCAAATTGCTCCCCCTCGTAAAGTCATCCTTTGAACTTCATTGTTCAAACCACACTTTTCATAAATATGTGCTTAATAATGTTGGCTCGTAATTCTTCTATGAATTATATGGGTATAAATAAGAGTAATATGCTTCATGCATAATGACTACTTATTAGTTGTGTAAAACAAATAAATTTTATCCTTCAGGATGATAAATCCTTTTCACAGGATTATGAAGGTAAATAAGTTATGATATTAAATATCTTCTAGATACTCATCAAATCTCATACTAGTTTGAATACTCATAATTTCTTCTTAGTGGATTTTCAAATTATATGTTTTACAAATCTTCGGGATCTTAATTATACAACGAAATAATAAATCCAGTGTTACATTTGGTATTTAGGGAATAATTCAATGGCATTTATGGTGGACTTGCCGGTGCCCGGTGGCCCGTATAGGAGGTACCCATGCTTCCACGGCTTCCCCACGCGAGCGTAGTAGTCCTTGCTCTTCTTGAACATGTCGAGGTCGTCGATGATCTCCTTCTTCTTCGCTGGGTCCATGGCCAGCTTGTCGAACGTCTTGGGGTGCTCAAACGGGACATGCGTCCAAACGTCTCGGTAGAAACTGCAGTTATTTACATATATACATGATTCAGAATTACTAATTCACAGTCGAAGTGCGTTAAACATGTCGTCATGTTCAGAAAAGGGTGCTTAGTAATTACCCGTCATCGTAGGCGTAGCCTTCCTTGAGGATATTCGTGTAGAGCCTTCGCTGGCGATTCTTGGCCATGACGGCGCGGCCCTCCCTGCGCACGTAGGGGAGGTACTCGTTGAGCACCAGGTCGCGGTGGCCCTCATGGAACTCGAGCCGGAAGAGCCGGCGCTCGACGCGCGCGGCACGGCTCCACGGCATGGTGTCGTTGGGCGGCGGCACGGCGGCGGCCGACCACCAGACCGTGGCGCCCCAGAAGACGTCGGCGACCTCCTCGCCCTTAGCCATGCTGAACACGAGCTTGTCCTTGTCGGTGGCGGCGGCATCCCGGCGGCCGCCGCCGCTAGACTCCGCCCTGAGGTGGCGCACGTCGCGCGTGCTCGCCGTGGTCAAGTAGGACTTGACGTCGGCGACCTCCTCGCCCTTAGCCATGCTGAACACGAGCTTGTCCTTGTCGGTGGCGGCGGCATCCCGGCGGCCGCCGCCGCTAGACTCCGCCCTGAGGTGGCGCACGTCGCGCGTGCTCGCCGTGGTCAAGTAGGACTTGATCTCTTCGAAGGCTTCGCTGCTCTTGATGCGCCCGCCGTCGTACTACTCGAGGGTCACCGACAGGTAAGGGTCGACCACCGCGGCGAGCCACCGCGCGCGCCGGTTGAAGTTGCTCGCGAAGAACTGCTGCAGGTGGATGTGCTGCCGGTTCTGCCATATCATGGTCCAGCACACAGCCAGAACGCTTACCACCACAGATGCCTGGCCAAACCACGAAAGCACATCCATCTCTCAACTTTGTATGCTGCTCACTGTGTGCTCACTTCCAAGTCTCTTGGATACAGTTTCGAGTGTATTCTTGCGGCCGCCACAGTATATATAGGAGGACACCACGCATGCATGCACAAATAGTTGTACCTGATGCGCTACATATATGATAGGGGCTCTCCACCCCACCTTATATAGTCCGGGGTGGGATAGGGTTATAGATAGAGTCCTAATCAGTTTACATATGGGCTTCTTAGTTCGTTAGAAAGAAATCTACTAAATAGAGTTGTTTTCTTCCAAGTAGATGAGGCACCCTCGCTTGTTTAGGCTTCTTGTGTAGCCTACTTGGTGTACACTATTCTATTTGGGTTATTTTCTATATGACGATGAGGTACCTGGGTAGTCGATAGTAGCCCCCAGCCTTCATGTGATTTAAAGAATCAGGCAGAGGGGTTAGTCTTTGATTGAAGTCTAAATGCGAGCACTTTTTGCGTCTAAATGCTCTCTCGTTGTTGTAGTGGACCAATGCCACGTAACCGAGCCTCCAAGAGATTTGGAGAACCGATCGGAGGGTAACCTTGAAGCTGTTGTCTTCTTCTAGTCCTAAGCACGCCTCGAGCATGCATATTGTCGGTGTGAAAAGTGACCAATAAGTAAATATTTATCGTTTTATCGTACGTTGTGATCGGATGTGGCCTAACACTCAATGACACAGGGTTTATACTGGATCAGGCAACGTGCCCTACGTCCAGTTTGAGTCGGTCGGTGACTTTATTCCTGAGTCCAGGTGCTCGAAGTTTGCTGTGGGGTTACAAACGAGTGGGAGTAAGATATGGGGTGTTAGAAGTCCGGTCATACTTTGGACCGAAGGGCCAAGAGTGACGGGAGCTCCTACGTGCGCTAAGTATTAGAACGTATGCTCTGTATAGCTTTAGGATGTCTAAAGCTAACAGAGAGTGAGTCGGAATGATCCGTTTGTTATTCGTCCATTCGTTGTCTTGTGTTGTTGTCCGTCTGTGTTGGGAGAGGGCGCATCCCCTTTTATAGATGAAGGGGATGGCCTTACAAGTGAGAGAGAGTGTGTGTGTTTCCTAGTCTTGTTGCCCACGCCGTCGGATACAAGATGGTTTGTCGGCGCCCACAATACTGTTGACGCCCAGATGCATGTGGTAGGCTCCATCGTGTTCTTTTCGTATGGCAAATGTCGGCGCCTACCATACAGTAGGACAAATATCAGCGCCCACAACACTGTTTGTGTTCTGACATGTCTGGAAGGTTAGAGAGCACCCTTCTGACATGGTCTGGCGGTACTGTCCTGTAGGTGTGCAGGGTACGGTCCTCGGTATTGCGGTTGACTTGAGCGCCTTGTCTTATCTACTCTGCCAGATTCTTGGGTCCTTACCAAGCGGGTGTCCTCGTTCAGTCATTCCCAGTCGGCTCCGACCGCGCCGGTCGGAGAAAGAGCTATAAGCAGAGGTTCGGTGTACTCCCAGTCAGAGAAGCAGGTCAGAGTCGGAAGCGAGCGTCGTCCCCTCCTTGGCTAGGCCTTCCGGTCGGAGAAGCGGGTCGGAGTAGAAAGCGAGCATCGTCCCCTCCTTGGCCAGACCTTCTGGTCGGAAACTGGATCGCTCTTTCGGCCTGTCGTTAGGTATCTGGGCCAGCCCAGGAGTTGCACATCGTTCGCAACGTTGTCTGCTGGGCTGAGCTTTTGCTGGGATGCAGGCCCATTAGGGACCTCGGGTTTATCAACCCGATAGGAGCCCCCGAGCCTCGTGCGATTCGGGTAGAATCATCTGTGGGATTTTTCGTTTTGACAGCGGGTGCGCGTGAGCGCACCCGGTGGGTGTAGCCTCGAGCCCCCGGGTGATTTGGGTAGAATCGTCTGGGGGATTTTTCGACTTGCCAGCGGGTGCACGCGAGCGCACCCGGTGGGTGTAGCCCCCGAGCCTGCGTCCGATTGGAGAGTCAGTTGGAGGCTAAGTATCTTGGTACTCTTTCCTGCAGCCACAGACTCCTGTGTTCATACGTGTTTGCCATCCGCAATTTCTGCAACCGGAGGGGTTGAGCTAACGTCGCTTGCCTCGATGGCTCGAGTGACACTCTCGGTGAGCTCGCTAACAGGCACGTTCGAGCGAAATCCAGGTCCGTCATTCATGACAGGGTCGGCATAGCCCTCATGTGGCATTCCACTGCTCCTTAACCTTCCTCCCGGCAGATGCCCGGGTCGTTCCTGAGACCGAGTCAGGTGGCTCGCTGGCCTCCCCTCGATGGAGATTCTATGGGCATGGCTCGAGGTTAGGATCGAACGAGAATGTTGAGATGACCATGTTTGCTTCTGAGCATACTGGGCGGGCCACTGGGGCTCATCTGCATTTTCTCCCCTTGCTCTGTTTGACGCGAGGTGGCCACGAGCCCTTCGCGGGCTGGCCTTCAAACCCCGCTCGGTCGTTGCTCATGTTGAATGAGGCAAGTACCGCTTTGTGACACAACACGAAGCGTTATGATGCATTAATTGCATATGCGATGCCTTGGATGTACGGGATGAATGGATGATGGTATGAATGAATGTGTGAATGCGTGCATGAGAATGGATGAATGAATGAGCATGCATCAGAAAATAAAGTAAGAGGGTTTGGTAAAGTTACCTTGATGACTCGAGTAACGGGTTGGAGGAGTTCTTATCGAATATGTCCGAATGGAATACGTGTTCGTCGTTCGTGGCGGAGACGGCATGGCCCACATGGGGAGTCCCACTGCTCCTTACCTGTATCTCGGCAGTCGCCTGAGCCGTCTGATCGACTCAGGAAGCCCATTGGTCTCTCCTTGATGGAGATCCCATCGTTGGGCCCTTCCAAGTTCGGCTTGGGAAGGTGGAGGGCCGTCTGCGTGTGGTTACGCCTTGTTTCCTGTGCCCAGCGTGCGGTAGTGGTGGGCTATGCCCAAACCAAGTCCCATCAAACCAGGCATCGTTTCGTTGGGCAGGGCATGTCCCATCAGTTAGGACGCGTCCCAGTACATGCCTATCCGCATTGAATAGGGGAAGGGAGAGGGGTTTTCGCCCCAATCCTTTGCCTTTCTCCAACTGCTGCGTCTCCTTCTTAAATAGGGGAAGGGAGAGGGTTTTCATCCCACTCCTTCGCCTATTCTCCAACTGTTGTTTCTCCTCCTTCCTTTTCGCCAAGCCCGTTCATGTGCCGTGGCGGTTCCTAGGAGAAAGAGGGTAAAGCGAGGGAGAGGAGAACTCACAGATCTGTTCGTGAATCTGGAGCGCAATGTCAAATTGGAGGCCATCCAACGTAGATGAGGCAGTGCTAGCCACCTTCGTCGAGAAGGGACTGCTTCCACCGAAGGAGGTGGCGCACTAGAGGGCCCTACGCCGGGGGAGTCTGTTCCGTGTTTTTCCCTTTTGCTCTCCTGTATTTTGACTTCAAGTCGTTCGCTTCGTAGGGACTTGTCGGCTACAAATCTCAGCCGCATCTTCCGAGGGGGCTAGAGGGCGCAGCTCGGCATGCTACCCAGAAGGAGGCGGCGGACGCCAAGAAGAAGAAGAAAGCTGAGAAGGCTCAGAGGAGGCACGAGAAGAAGGAGATCGCCCGGCGAGTGCGGGCCGGTGAAACCGGAGTGATGTGGAGGCGGAGCTCGAGTCGGAGGAGCCCATGGAGATGGCCAGCGATGCGAGCACCTCCAAGGACGATGGAGACTGAGGCATCGCTGCTACCTCGATGGAGCATTGTGCGCCTATGGCCATGTCTGGTGGCGGTAGGCGGAATGTGGAGAGGCGCGGCGATGTTCCCACGTCAAGGAATCATGCCGCGAGCTTGGGCGCCGCCGACGAGCGAGTGGTGAAGCGGGTGCGGTCGCTGCAATGTTCAGAGGCATTGTGGGTCACGACACGCGAGTGAGAGGTGAAGCGAGCGCAGTCCCCCCTACTCCGAGCGTGGCATGGCACGCCAGCCGGTCGGAGGAGCATGCCTGTTCCCCCGTTCCCCTACATCTTTGAGGTCAGCGCATGCACGCGAGCCACAACGGGGAGATGCCCTGTCAGCTACCCGGTGGGTGTGCCACGAGCCGGCGGTCGCGGTGACTCATGGGCCAATCGGGAAACGTCTGGTTCGACTCCCCCCTCGGTCGATGTGAGGGGCACGGGTCGTGACACGTGAGCGGTCCTCGTCCAGCGGGCTCGTTGCTAGTGGGTCGGGGTTTTAGGGCCCTGCCGCTTTTGTCTAGGTATGCATCCATGTCCCTTTTTTATCTCATAGTTGAGTTTTTGAGCATGACTGACCTGTACTTTTTGTACAGCGGCCAGGGATTTACGGGATTGAGCATCGCCCACCTCTCGTACGGGAGGAGTGGAGACCTAGCCTTTAGCGAGTTGCGACGAGCGGTAGGGAAAGCAGGCTGGTGGCGGTGCATCCTTCCATTCTGGGGGTGATGGTGGTGATCCCCATGATGACAGTGGAGGCTGGGTCGAAGGTGACCCTTGTGATCCCTCCCACACTAGCTACGGTGGAAGAGAGAAGAGAGACCGGGCTCCCTGCCTCGCTCGACGGAGGGATGCACGGCTCACCCTCCTGGTCGGAGCTGGAGGTGTTGGGAGGTGACGTGGTCAAGCCGGAGGCAGAACATCCACCAGCAGGCCATGGGGTTGAGGTAGCGGAGATCCCCTACTCTAGCGA